GGTCAGTGGTAGAGTGCTTGCCTGTCATGTGTGATCCCCAGTATCAAAAAAGAAAAAAAAATTAAAACTAAGACAAAGGCAGTAACATATTATCTTTACTTATTAATGTCTAGAGGTATGGTCCATGAAAAAAAAAGTCTCACATCAAAACCTATAAATACATGTTGAGGGAGGGTTATTAGGGAAAGGATATGAACCAAGGGGAGGTAAGCAAACAGTCATTATAATCAAAGCACATTATGAGAAAACTGAACTACATAGGGTAGCAATTGGAGGAGGAAAATGGGGGAGAATGATAGGAGTAACCTGACATGGAACTGAAACCTCTTAATACAAAAACTTAGTAAGAGATTTTAAAAATTGCATTAATGAGAAAAAAATTTAACTCAAACATCTCATGAGAATCTGTATACTTCACATAAAATCAGACACATGATTTCTGGCAAATAAATTATTGAATACATTTGTACTTAAGAATCTCTTTTTCTTTTGTTGTTATTCATAGGTTAAGCTCTGTGTTAGACAAGACACACTAAAAAAAGTCTGTATCTCCATTTCTAGTAGATCTAGTAACCTTGTAAAACAAAGCAAAGAACAGGTCCTGATGTAGTAACATGGTTTTTCCTTCCAGATCTATGGCCAATTTCTCATGGTTGGGTGCTCCATTAGATCAACTGTGACATTTCAGTCTCTTGAGATACTGAGGCATATATCTCCCAAGGAAAGGCTCTATTACAAGGTCAACTATTTAACTGGCCAAATAGTATTTGAATTAATTTTGTTAAGATCCATTGCTTGACATTGGTGCCACAGCCATCATTACTAAGGTTTGCATCTGCTGTTTATTTTAGTTCACCCAAAGAGGTGACTCGCCATCACTAGTAAATTGCCAAACAACAGAAGAGATTCATGAATTAACTACTGCAAACATGGCATTGTTACAAAGCACAACATTCACCACTACCTAGGTGTAACCCGAGTGAAATGATTCCTAAAATTTTAGCTTAATAAAATTAATTTCTTAGTTTCTCACTGAAGTCTTAATTATCCAATCTGGAATTTTCAGCATCAATATATTACACTTTTTTTATTTTTACACTTCATATTTATGTATTCAGCTAACATTTATGTGCCAGGTATTACACTGCATTTCTCTTATTCTCAACAATGTTGGTATTCTGTGGAAAAGTAATACCTGACTCATAAGAAGAAATACTACTTTGCTAGAAGAAAAAAGAGCTAATGCCATCGATTTTCCTAGAAACTCAAATGGAAGCATGAACTTCTTCCCCATAACTTGCAACAGAAAAGAACAGCTAGTCATTTTTCTAACAAGTATACAGCAAAAATCAATCAGCCTGGAGTCTTCAAATGGCCTGTTTAGTTTTATTCAAGATGACAGAAGCAATAAACAATGAAGTGTTCAAAATATACATGAAGAAATAATTAATATTGCCATCTTTTAAAGGATAATAATGGTGATGGTAACATTTACTGACACAAAACGCCAGTAGACATTTTAATCATTTATTCCACATATCATCCCTAGGGGACTGGCATAACCATAATCCCCATTTCAAAGGTGAAACAGGCTTGTCTTACTCAAGGTCACTCAGCTACACGAAGCTGTAACTCAAACCCAGTTCTGGGCTGGAATGTAGCTCACCAACAGTGAGTTCCTTTGCCTGAGTTCAATTCCTGATACTGCAAAACAAGAGCAAACCCAGTTCTATCACTGTTCGCTACTTGGTTTACACACAATTTCTGTTAAAAGGGTTCTTTGTTGTTGTTTTTGTCCAATATGGAGTTTGAACTCAGGGCTTTGCACTTCCTAGGTATGCACTCTACCACTTGAGCCACACCTCTCACCCAGCTTTGTTGATTATTTTGAAGATGCAGTCTCCAGACTTTTCTGCCCCAGCTAGCTTCAAACCATCATCCTCCAGAATCTGAGCTTTGTAACTGGGATAAGTAGCATAACCACTAGTGTCCAGCAAGTCTTAAAACTTTTAAATTTCCTAAGTTTCTTCCTTACAATAAATTACATTTTTGATGATACATATAGAAATCAACAAACAAGAATACCCATTAGAACAAAAGCCTTGACTCCCCTATAGTAATGGAATGGGTCATAGATTCATTTTGAAAGAGACAATGGGGTCATCCAGTACAAATTGTTTATTTCAGGAATAATTAAGACAGAGGTCTCTCTTGTTTGGGTTTGGTTTGGTTTTCTGAGCCGGGGTCTCACTATAGCTCAGGGTGCTTGGAGCTTGGAATTCTGCCTCCACCTCAGGTATGTATCAACAACCTGGAAAAGGGAGGCCTTTTGGGAACCATCTATACTCATTCTAACATCCTCAATCCAGAAAAGGGTCTTTTTACTTTTTCAAGTATCACTTTAATATATAATCTAACATCTTAATAACATTTTTAACATTTCATCGCAGCATGACCACTCTCTCTGAAGCACCAGTACAAAGTACTAGCACAAAGTAAAGACTCCATTACATGAATTCAGTACTGCAGGGCTGTACTAATTACAAACTACATTACAATATGACGTTATAGGAAATTATAAAATGACATCCTTAACCATATAAACTCCAGCTCAAAAATAGCTCTTGCTTCCTTAAATTCATTTGGGTCAACTATGGGCTCAGTTTCACTTCACAGGTCACATCACGTGACTGGATTCAAGCTCATTTTAAGAGAAATGTACTATGCTGTATTTAGAACACATTATCACTAAGAGCCACCAGATGAGGCTTTGGAGGTCTATCCAAAAACCCTGCTTTAGTTGCTTAGAAACTACATTTCACCACTTTATAAGTTATGTCAGCAGAAATTACACATGTACGATCAAGAACCTATTATGCAAAATGAAACCATGCTATTTCCATAAATTGAATACCGGAAATCAGAATTATGCTTAACTCACATTGTTAACACTTGAGTTAACCGCTAAGGCAAATCAGACTCTGTCTTCTACAACAGCTTCATACTTCGAAAAACAGGGGGAAAAAATGCCACTATGCTTAACATACTCAATAAAATACTGACCCTTTGCAGTGATAAGGCTTGACTAGCACAATTCGGTGCTACCAATTCTTACATCAAACCAGCAATTTTTTTTCCATCCCGTGATATATTTTCACTGAAATCTTCAATACTTTAAGCCTAGTTTCTCGTTAGAATACAATTCCACTAGCTCTACCATTTATTTTTAAAGCCATTTAAGTTTTAATTGTTCTTGTATAACAAGGAGGAGCACTGATTTGTAAAAATAATTCATAGTTCATGCTCCAGTAATCATAATTTTTTATATGAAAAACTATCTCTAAAGCCGGAAGTGGAGCTATGACTCAAGTGATCGCCAGGCTAAGGGACTGTAACCAAAAAATAAAAGTCTCTAAACCTGGTTGGTGGGACAGTACTGGGGCTTGAACTCAGAACCTGAGCACAGCCCCTTAGCTTTTTTTGCTCAAGGCTGTAACTCTACCACTTGAGCCACACAACTCCATTTCTGGTTTTTGGTGATTACCTACAGTTAAGAGTCGACTTCTGCCTGCGCTGGCTTCGAGCCCAGATCCTCAGATCTCAGCCTCCTGAGTAGCTAGGATCACAGGGGCAAGCCAAGGGCTCCACACTTGAAAACTCTTAATAGTCTCTTCCTCCACAAGAGCAGAAACAGGTGCACAATCTCTGTAGTTTCACTTAAAGACCAACTCAGCAGCTGATGCTAACACATGCCTTCGATCAGAATCTGCTTCGTTTGGATCCCCCCCAAGCCTCTAATCCACCCTGCCCCCGCCCCCGTTCTCCATCTTCTTTCTCTAAACAGCTTCAGTTCAAAACCCAGTTCTCCCATTTTCACTGCCCCTCGCTTCCATCACCGAAAGCATCTTTCCTATTCCTCGGAAATAACACCTTTTTCAGCGTTGAAACTTTTACATCTCCAAAACCCACTCCCCCTCCGTCTAGCTTTGATCCTCCCTTGCTCTCAACCCTCCACTGCGGTGACAGCTGTGTCCCTGCCTTCCCCCAAGCCCGACCCATAGCATCCAGTATTTTGGCCACCACTCTCCCTCCTTTCCCAATCATCTATCTTCCACTCCGCACGCCGACATCCCACCCCCACCCTGGCTTCCTGCATTTTACTCCCTTTCCCGTCTTCCCCCACGCCCAGGCACCCTTACTTTGCTAATAACTCTTCCCTTTTAGCTTTCTTCCCATCCTCGGCTCGTTCTCCTTTCCTTATTTAGAAACTCCTTTGCGCTCTACCCCAACTGCCACCCTGGAATGCCCGGGCACTGCACCCCATCTTCGAGCAGCTCGCGGGGAGACACCGCCGCTTCCCCTTCCGCGTCCCCGACGGCAGCCGGCCCACTCACTCCCTTCCACCCCCACCCCCTTACCCCGCGCCTCGCGAATCGAGTACTCAGCTCCCCACCACGTTCTCTCGGGGCCTTCCCCTCCCCTTCCTTCCCCTCCCCCCCCTTCCAGCTTCTCCCTTTCTTTTAAAGAATGTCACCAGGGTGACGAGCCCCGCGGAGAATCCCCGGTCGGCCTCAGCACTGGGGGGGGGGGGGAGGGGGAAGAGCCCTCCTTCATCTCGGGTTCTCCGCGGCGCTGCACCCCCTCCTCATCCACCCCAGCTGACTAACTACCCGACCTCCACTCCCCCCCACCTCCTCCGTCAACCTCCCCTCACCGACCCGCAACGACGCACCCCGCCGAGCCTTGGGGTCACCGCACCCCGGGCTTCCCCGCAGGACGCCCCCGCCTCCCCGGGCCCTGGCCTCGCGCCCGCCGGGCACCTACGCCCTGACAGGTTAGGCTCGGCCCCCGCGGCCGCCGAAGCCCCTCACACCAGGCCCGAGCCCGCTCCCGGCCCCCCTCGGGCCCGGCGCCCCTCAGCCCCCGGTGCCCCCGGAGCCCCGCCGGCCCGCCCCCGGCGCCCCGCAGCCCCGCGGGCCCGCCCCGGGCGCCCCGCTTACCGTTCTGAGCGGCGCCAGGCCCCGGCAGGACCGCGCCAGAGACCAGCAGCAGCGTGAGGGCCAAGGCGCGGGGGAGCGAAAGGCCCGACATCCTCCCCGGTGGAAGACGGAACGTCGTCTGGGCCGGAACCGGGGCCGCGGAAAGGGAGGGAGGGAGGGAGGGAGGGGGCGGGCGAGCGAGCTGGCGAGGGAGCGAGCAGGCGAGGGAGGGAGGGAGGCCGGGCGGGAGGCAGCCGCGGCTCCGTTCCGTCGTCCTTCCCCCGTCCTCCGCCTACCGCCGCAGCGCCCAAGCCTCGCGAGATTTCCGTCGCCGGCCGTGGGCGGTAGACCGGTAACGGCTGGAAGTCTCGCGAGGAGAGGAGACAGTCGGCTTGTAGCCCCCGCCCCTTAGGCTCGGAGGCCCCGCCCCTGCGGAGGCTGATTGGCTCCGCGCTAGATGGGTCACGTGCCAAGGGCGTTCTAGGCCACGTGACGAGGAAGGGGGCTGCACCTCCCCTCCCCGCTGGCCTGGGAGGCTCCGGGCGTCCGGCTTGCAGCCCTGGAGCGCCCATAAATAAGAGGCTGCCTCGGGGATCCGACGTGCTCTCTCCACCCACCCTGCCCCTCCCGTGCTCCCCCGTCGGCTGCGGGCCGGGGTAGCTCTCCCGCCCCCAGAGCCCCCCTCCCCTCTTTGTCCCCATAGGAAACCTGCTCTTTCCGCCTCCTGATCTGCCCAAGACCAGCACCCGAGTCTGTCCCCAACCTCCCTCTCTTTATTTTATTTTTCCCCTTCCAGGCAAAGCGTGGCAGTTGCTGAGCCTTCCTGCTGGGACATCTGCTCCGGCGGCCTGAAATGCCCTCCTTTCCAGCCCCCGCCTTGCTTTCCCCCCCTCCCCCTCCCCCGCACCCCCACTTCGGCCTTATTTTAGGTCTCAGGGCCTCAAGTTCAACCAGCCTAATTGCATGTCCGCAGGTACAGTTCTGCGAAAGGGACTCGGGCCTGTGTCTAACTTAAGTTACCTCGTCGGTGGTATTTGAATACAGCCAGCATTTATTGAGCACATGCTGTGTGCCCAGCCCAGGATGAAAACCTACAGGAAAATAGTTGCAGCTCTTGCAGAATTCACAACCTAATCGACCATGTACAAGTAAGAAAAGGGGCGAATACCCCATAGATAAAAGAGCTGACAAGAGCCCTCAGGAGCTTGGGGGCACGTGGGGTGGGGGGGGGTCACACCTTAGTTGCCTGAAAGTTGGGGAAGAAAGACGAACTATTTATAATGGGACACTTTGTTCCACTCTGGGCATTGGTGGTTAGCATGCAAGGAGGCCTAGATCATTCTTGTGTCACAGTCCTGGGTGTTTCTGCCACACAAAGAGTTGAATCCAGAGAAAGTAGATCTCGGCTTCAACTACTATGTCCTGTCTGGACAATGTTCCAGACAGTTTTCTAGCCATAGCCACAACAACTATGACATGTGATTAAAGATAAAAGATAGATATTCCTAAATCTCAGGTGTGTGTGACAAAACGATTGGCATGTGTCTCATCTGAACGGACAAGACAGCTTCGGGTCAGTCTGTGAAAGAACCAAGATTCTAAATTGATGTTAACTTTCCATTGGATGCAACCATTCTGCTGCATAACAAATATCCCAGTTGGATCCTTGCAACAAGAAAACCTTAAACAATGATGCCCATTTTGTGCCATAGGTAAACAGACCCAGAGAGGACATGACCTGCCCAGGGTGCTTGCCTTCATTCATGCCAAACACTCTGCTCTCTGCCTGTTTCTAGGCTCATCTTAAAAGTACAACCTCCAAACTGGCACTAGTGTACATACCTGTCATCCTAGCTACTCAGAAAGCTGAGATCTGAAGATCGTGGTTGAAAGCCTGTCCAGGCAGGAAAAGTCTATATGTCCAATTAATCACCAAAAAAGAAGTGGATCTGTGGCTTGAGCAAAAAAAAAAAAAAAAAGCTCAAGGACCCAGCACCTAGGCCCTAAGTCAGGACCAGCACACACACACACATATGATTGAAAATCAGGAAAAAAAAAATCCCTACAAGATGTCTAAGCTCCAATATAACACCTCAGAAGAACCCTTGGGATCCTCAGAACTCAGCCTGAGACACACTTTGCTGGCCTCCAGGGATGGTATAGCGGTGTGCTTTCCAGTAGTTCGTAGCGCACCCTGGTGGGAAGGTCTGAAATAAAGCATGCCCAATTGAGTGACTTCAAGATGATTGATGAGGTATGGTTCCCACGACCCTGGGAAGGAGACTAGTGAAAATAATACAGTAGCAATGTTCCCACAGTTGAACTTGAACTTCCAAATGGGTTTCCACTTTCCTACTGCACAGATCCTCCCTTAAAGCTCTTGCTATTCTGGTATATATGCATATCTTGCTTGTTATCTTTCAGAGAATGTAGTCTTCGCCCTGCCTCATACGACTCCTGGAGTCATCCTTGAACTCCATGTACCAAGTTCAGCATCCATGTTAGGTGACCAACTCAATATCCTTGTTGCCTCAATCCTTTAGACTTTTTTTGGGGGGGGCTCCGGTCGTGGGGCCTGAACTCTGGGCCTGGGCGCTGTCCCTCAGATCTTCAGCTCAAGGCTAGTGCTCTACCACTTAAGCCACAGTGCCACTTCTGTCTTTTTTTCTTTTTGCTTATGTGGTGCTGAGGAATCGAACCCAGGGCCTCAGGCATTCAAGGCAAGCCCTCTACCACTGAGCCACCTTCCCAGCCCCCTCCTTTAAACTTTCTAAATTCCAATCACCTCTTCAACTCAACCACATCCTCCAAGGTTACACCCTACAGTCATCCCTAAAAAGGGCTCGTATATGTAACCCCTCTGTACATCATCTTGACAACAAAAAAGGGCTCTTATGTGTGGGTATGTCAGTACCAGAACTTGAACTTAGGGCCTGGGTGCTGTCCCTTAGCATTTTTGCGCTTGCGCCCCAGCTCCACTTACAGCTTTTGAGTGGTTAATTCGAGATAAGAGTCACACCGACTTCTTGTGCAGTCTAGCTTCAAACTGTGATCCTTAGATTCAGCCTCCTGAGCAACTAGGATTACAGGTGTGAACCACCAGCAAATGGCTTCACCTGGGGAACTTTTTAAATTCTCAATCCCTTAGACATGATCAATGCAATCAGATTCTGGAAACTTGGAAACTTAGGAATCAGTATATCATTAATTCCAGGTAATTCCAACATGTTGCAAAAATTGAAAATAGGTGTGTGCATGGATTTTGGTTGTTTTAAATTTGACAACAGCACAATCATATGGAAGGCCCCTGAAAAAACATTTTGTACCAAGCCCTGTCATCCTAGGAGGCTTGAGGTCTGAGGATTGAGATTCAAACCCAGCGCAGGAGAGCAAGTCTGTGAAACTCTTTATCTCCAATTAAACAGTGAAAAGCCAGAGATAGCAGTAGAGGACTAGCTTCGGAAGGAAAAAACAACCTAAATGAGAACTTGAGGCCTAGGTTTAAGCCCCAGTACTGGGATCGAAGAATAAAAATAAAAACAGTTGGTTACTGGTGGCTCATGTTTATAATCTTAGCTATCCAGAGGTTGAGATCTAAAGATCATAGCTCAAAGCAGGAAGGTCTGTGAGACTCCTATCTCCAATTGACCACCAAAGAAGCTGGAAGTGGAGCTGTGGCTCAAGTGGGTAGAGTGCTAGCCTTGAGCAAAAAATCCCAGGGACAGTACCCAGATCCTGAGTTCAAGCCACAGGACCAGCCCCCCCCCCACATTGCTAGACCCTACTTCCTGACTTTCTGACTCAGTAGATCCAGTGTGAGGCCTATATAGATTTCCAATAAGCTCCCCAGGGGGTGTGGAAATCCCCATTTAACATCATTCCTGGACTGGCAGTGTGGCTTAGTGGTAGAGTACTTGTCTAGCATACATGAAGCCCTGGATTTGATTCTGTAGTACCACATAAACAGAAAAAAGACAATAGTAGGACTCTGGTTTAAGTGGTAGAACACTAGCCTTAAGCAAAAAGAAGCTCAGGGACAGTGTCCAGGCCCTGAGTTCAAGCCCTAGGACTGGCAAAGAAAGAGAGAGAGAGAGAGAGAGAGAGAGAGATCTGTCCCAAGTTTAACCTCCAGAAAATTACATAGCCACGTTGAGGCCTTGCTGTGATCATGTTCACATGATTAAAAGTCCATGGAGAAATAATTGTGCTAAAATCAGTCAAATTGACCCACATAGTATTTTTTAAGAGAATTAATAGGTTCTGACTCTAGAGGAGAGAGTGTGCGACACTAAGACTAACGTTGGAATAGCCCGGATGCTGTCTAGGTGACTGATCCCCTTCCCAGAGTCTGGAGAGACTGCTGGTTTGTCAGGTTAATAGTGAACACAGTGGTCACACGGTGACAGATGTCTGGGCAGTCTGCCTTTTCTCCTGAGAAGTGTTCTGCCTTACAACATGGTTCTAATCAGACTACACCATTCCTCTGAACCCCCACCTCATTTCCCTGTTTTGTTTCAGGATGGTTAGCAGGTGCAAACCAGGAAATCAAGAAGCCCTGGAAATGTTTCAGATTAAAATTTAGGAAAAGAGAATCTCTCCTTAAGACATAACCTAGGTTTGGGCTGGAAATGTGGCTTAGAGGTAGAGTATTTGTCAAGCACGCAAGAAGCTCTGGGTTGAATTCCTCAGTACCACATAAACAGAAAAGGCCAGAAGTGGCACTGTGGCTCAAGTGATAAGAGTGCTAGCCTTGAGCCAAAGAAGCTCAGGGACAGTGCCCAAGGCCTGAGTTCAAGCCCCACGACTGGCAAAAACAAAAAAATATAGAACCTAGGTTCTAGTGACTAACATCTGTAATCCTCACTACTCAGAAGGATGAGATCAGGATTTGTGGCTCAAAGCCAGCCTGGGCAGGAAAGTCCATGAAACACTAATCTCCAATTAACCAGTTAAAAACAAAAACAAAACAACCTCAGAAGTAGACGTGTGGTTCATATGCTAAAGTGAACAGCCTTAAGCAAAAAGGCTGAAGCTGAGGGACAGTACCCAGGTCTTGAGTTCAAGCCCCAGGACCAGCACACACACACACACACACACACACACACACACACACGAGGTCATTGCAATTTGGGCTAATGATAAGCATGGTATGGTATGGATAGGAGGGGAGACCATAACAGCTC